CCCACCATTCCAAATTAGCCATGACTCTTTTCAAAAGGTCACGTCATTATCTTTAAGGTTGAGGCTAATCAGCTTGATACATCGGCGACTTCCGATGAATGATTATTTCATTGCGATCACGCAAAACAAATACGTTGATCGGCAGCTATCATTCATACACTGCGATAAGAAAATTAATCCCCAGTCTTAACGTTTCCTTTAGCTCAAGACGGCGGTAGACTGAGAACTACTCATGAGAAATTCAGCCCAAGACTGCATAAAACTTCGATGACTAACTCGTTATCCTATTTCCACGTATGTAATAAATACTGAAACTCCTTGGAAGTGTTTCATTCCGGCAATGGTCCTTTTGGGTCAGTTATCATTAATATGTCATTCCCTTCACAAAGTTTGTCAAAATGAATGTTTGACCACCTGATAGAACTGTTAAATTCCTTTAAATATACCTTCTGGGTTCTCGTATCTCTTCGGCTGTAGCACTTAATGATATCTATATACAAGGTCCTCTTACGGAGAAGGCTTCGTTACATTATCTAACGCCGACAACTCCTCCATGCCTTTCCGTTAACGTCTTTTTGTTTGTTATACCCATTAAAATCATATTGTTTATTATAGTGCCATTTTGCAGATGTGTATCGAAACCCAAGGCATTCATGGTTTCTATAATGCTTGGATATTTCAAAACGCTCTTTGATTAATTTGGACCTGTTAAAATTTTTTAGTAAGTTTTACAGATGTATCGTTAATTTTTCATATGACATTTCAGTTTTTCTAACATCAAGGTAAAATTTCGTGTTACAACATTAACCCAAATGTTCACATGCACAGGAGAAATCAAAAGCAAGTTTAACCTTGATTTACGATGGCCACTTTCGAAAACCCGGCCGATTATATCATTTTTACAATTACGTTTGTTTACAATTACGATATAATATGAAGCATTAACATCTTATATGGCTTTACTAACCTGTAAATATACTCCGAGCGCGCTTCTTCTCTCAGATCAAAGTAGCAAAAAGATCATGACTCTGATGCTATCTTAACGACGCCTTTTCATTTAATAAGGCCTAGCAGGCTCGTGGGTGTCAGTCTTTTGAAGACAGATGGAGGAAAATTTCCAAATTTGTGGGATGTTTGTTAAACCAAAAACGACTCCAAGTGACTGATTTGATTAGTGCAGGAAATTCGTCATGTAGTGTTGATTTAAGAGTATTTCCATGTTCTGCTAATCACGTTCGGTTTTTTCAGCAACTCTAAACAATGAAAGTTTGAGGTCAGAAACATTTGTTTTGAAATAAAAAAGTTGTAAAAAATGGTACTGGCAAGATGAAAATCAAACAGACGACTTTAAAGAAAGTCCAAGCATTTGTCAGTCAACTTCTTTCTTTTGTATTTCTGGGCGTGTCAGTTTCTTCAACTGTAGTGCTGATCAATTCTCACGAGACTGTTTCGAGCAATAAATCAATCGCTTTAATTTGACAAGTTTGAAATGTACAGGGAAACCTTTTATGTACAGGGAAAAAGGAAGAAAGAAAGTGATACGACGATTTCCTGCAATCTCAACGGATTGAAAGCATCTTTAAGTTTTTGGGCTGTAACGGAAAAAGAAGGAGTAGAAACTTTATTTGGTTCTTTTGGTTGAGCAAGACGAATTTCCGTCTTGTAGGAGCACAGACCTCAGTCATTAACAAAGAAGTCTGTCCATGAGAGACGTTATGGTCCCAGTTCTACTAAACATTGTTCAACTAAGGGGTTGGGGAAGAGGTGGGTTGGGAACGGGGAATTATCCCCTCGTTTTTCTACCTTTTGCAGAAAAAAATCTTTAAATTCAGCTTACAATGGGAAAGGACTGAACACAGACCACCATCATATTAAGTAACTATGTTTACTCTTTTCAAATCAGTTTTGGTTTCCTTCTGACGGAAAAATTGGTTATAAGACGCAACATGATGATTTGAAGGCTCCTTCTTACGCATGCTCTAAGTTTCAAGCTGTGCAAAAGCATCAGCAACTATACGGAAAATTGTTAGTTGAAAATAAACGGCGCCTGACTTCGTGTAAACAACAAACGTGTTCGAGCAGGTCTGAAAATGTCCCACACAATGTGTCGAAAACCCTATTTCAACACTGCTTTGATGAGAGAACTTAAGCACCACACGTTAGTTATCGCCTGGGGATCAGAGGATTTTTTTTTTGGGGGGGGAAGGGGAGCTCAAATAGTTTTAAGAGGGAACGAAGGGGGAATCAGTCTTTGCTAAAAGAGTTTGAAGGGAGACTTAAGAAAATTAATCGTCAATGAAGGGGAAGGGGGGAGGGTCATTTAATTAGTGGCAGAGTCTTATGGGTAAATTCTATAGTGACACAATTAAAATCCCGAAGCCCCCCTATGAGTGTGTTAGTGCTGACCGCCCATCTGCCTTAATTTTTTTGCATAAGAAAAGTATAAGTTGGAAATACTGACCACGCATTTTATCTCAAGAAGAAATGAAATATCTTGTAGTGCCAGCAATCACGAGATCCCTCTAAAAAATTGCAACCGAACTGTGATCTTTTTTCAGAAGGAGCAGTGATCCTCATAGCGAGAGCGCGCACAAATTACAAATGTACCTCTTGTCAACGAAGAAATAGCAAGCTGAAATTTAACATGCACAGACGTTTGCGTGAGTACAGGCGTGATCCTAAACCGTAAAAATGTCGACGTCTGTAATTTTATCGGTCAAATTTTTAATGCCTTTCGCTCGTCTGAAAAACAAAGCGGCAACATGAATGGACATGTTTTTTGAGGATTCATTTGGTTGAAGCTTTCGTTACTTAAATCCGCAGAAATTTATTGAATAAGGTTTGAAATGTTTCTTGTAAAGGAATTCCCTTTCTGTTTTCGAGATATCCTGTTCTACCTTGGAACAGGATATTACTGTTTCTTTGGTTGTTTTGGCGGTTTGTCGTCTGGTTTAGGTCAGAATTTCCGTATTCAGCTCAACAAACCATGTTAATCACGGAAAGAGCGAAAAAGTAGCTGGCAAGTATCTTTAATACACGACACTAAGGAACCCGTAATGATCCATATATTTGTAATAAAGTAATAGCCTTGTCTTCCGATTGGTAACCTATCTCTATGATATTCGACCAAGAAAACGCGTCAGAAAAAATTGTCAGAGCTATTTTCGTCTCAGGATCTATCGCGTGATTCTCGCTGTCTTTCAACGTGTACGAACACTTCGTTTTGACAGTCATGAATATGAAAGGAAAAAGTCGCGCTATGAAAACTATGTCTACCTTGTGGTCAGATAACTTCCTCATTGAAGAAATTATTTCACGTTCATGATAAGGTACCTTCTTCTCTATTTCGTTTTCAAAACTATATTTCTTCGTCTCAGCAAAAGCAAAGCAAAATGTCAGAATTAACTCGTATGTTTTCTTTACCCTCTGTTGTTTTCACCCATACGCTGTGGTGCCCCTATGTTTTTAAATGAAGACTTATTTTATGTTACTTTTTCATCTATCGCCCTTTATTTAGCTCTCTACCTTTTAAATCGCGCCCAATACCCCTGTGGACTTCACGGCTTAAATATTTCATGGCTGTACGATTCCCGCCTTTTTCTTTTCATCTAGAAAGCAAGATGTCTTATGTTCGATACGTAACTCTTTTTAATAACCCCAGACTTCCGTCATTATCTGTGCCAACACTGTAAATGAAGCACTCTGTTTTCAAACGTCTCCAATTTGCAAAAGGCGTTTCGGAATAAAAAACGGCTCAAGGTTTTCCAACGTTGTAGTGCCTACACCAATCTTGGTTGGGCCGAAACGACTTTTGAATAAATTGGACGACTTTTGGTGGACTGAAAAACTTTCGTGGACTGAAAGACTTTTGCAGACTGAACGACTTTTGTAGACGGAAAGTCTACTGTGTGGACTGAAGTACATTTGTAAGGATCCAACGACTTCTGTGTGGACTTAGGGACTTTGGTGTCGTCTAAAGGGCGACTTCCATGTGGATTGGACAACGTTTTTGGGAATAAACGACTTTTGTGGGTTAGAAAACGTTTTTTGGATCGAACAACTATTATGAAGACTGCATGACTTTTGTGTGGATTAAAAGAACCGTTTGGCCAAGGTTACTGTGGTGTTTGTTTTAATGTCCCTCGTTAGTCCACTCGGGCTAAATATTTTGACAACTGAATAAAGGTTCTTCTCTTCTCTTTTTAAGAAGCAGGTCGAGTTTTATTAATGTGGTCTAAACGACTTTTGTGTGGACGGGTCGTTTGACGTGTCGATTGGTTCTGTGGACTAAACAACGTTAGTGCGAGCGGGACGATATTCGTGTAAAAATGGACGACGTTTCTGTAGATTAAACGACTGTGGGGGCTGGTATGGTTGAGGTAAGATTGTTTGGCCGTGGGGGAGACTTAATTAAATATAGAAGTGAACTGAGAGTATAGTAAACTTCGTATAAAACAAGATAATTTGGTTTTATCAATTGTGTTGATGAAGTAACGGTTGGCCACCGCAAAGAGTTTCTTAAGGTAAATTTTCGAGTGTTAGCCTTTCGATTTGCTGATTCTTTCTGTGGATCTCCAATTCAGATCGGTCTTTTAATTAAAAAATTACCCGTAGAAAAAGCTTTGGTTCTCAAGGAGATTCCGTCGTTTAGAAGATGACGCTTATAGTGCCTAAACTATTGTGGAGGTTCTCTTAACAGAAGTTCTCTTGATGGTTCCATCTTAAACTCTTCAACAAAAGTTGATAATTCCCAAGTAGGGTTGACCTTTGCCTAGGAAAAGGCGTACATGGGTTTGAAATATATCCTACATATACGACTTCGTCTGAACAGTTGTCTCGTAGTGTTGTTATAGTTGATAAAATCGTGTTAAAACTTATGACAGAGTCTGGGAACGTTTTTCCAGTTACCCCAAATCTCATCAAAGGTGAGACTACGGGGCTCCTTAAAAGTGGCTTAAGTCTCAGGGCTGATGCCATAGACAATAACTAACGGAAGTATATAGCTTAAGAAAACAACTTAATGGTTTATTCGTCGAATATCATAGTTTCAGAACAATATTTAAATTCCTTTCTCAGTACATATATTTTGACATTTATATCATTTTGTGCATTGTTGGCATTCTATAGATCCATCTAAAAGCGGGCACAAAAAAAAAATTCATTGAAGTCACGATGGTGGCTCACATTGTTCTTTATTATGAACAATAAACTTAAATCATCTTTATAAATCTTAACATTGCGAAAGACGTGTACAGATGCTACCTTTAGGTTCGAAGGAACAAACCAGTAGGATCGTAACGTTTTTATCTTGTTTATAATTGACGCTGAAGGTGCTTTAAATATGCTACTAGGAATAAGATCAGACTCAATATAGGCTAGGTAGAGCTCGATAAGATTATCCGAAATTTTGAACTATACTTACTGGTGAAAAAGAAAAATGAATACCTGCTTTGTTCATATTTAAAAGCTTATGAGGCGGAGCACTGTGTTAAGCTGTTACAGGTTACTTAAACCAAATGAAACCTAAACACACATGCGGAAATCTGGCCCAGAGTTAATATTTTTTTCGAAGTGATGTTAATGGGAAATGCTAACAAAAGAGGATATGCAGGAGCTGTTTGAATAGTTAACATCGAAACTTCTTTCCTGCTCAGCCGGTAATAGTTATTCTATTCTCACCAGTTCGAGGACGAGCTTCTTTTACATCTAATATATACAGCCATATGGCATAATACACACTAAGAATTTCTTCTGAAGAGTTATAAAGCTTGGTGGCAAATTTCATGAAATATTGGAACTTTCAGCACATCATAGTGGATTCTAATCGATTCCGGGACATCTCATTTGAGACGGGTCCAGCATTTGACATATAGGAGAAGTACTGTTCGTGGCTTGGGTAGAAATGAGCTTGCGGTGACGAAGTGGGCCCAAAATTAGACGGAGGGAATCCATTCATTCCGTTATTGATAAATTTTTGATAGTTGGCCTGTCTGTGGAAGTTGGCCATTTCTTGCATATTGTGTTTGCTAGGCCAATTGGGACCATTAAAAGTAAAGTTGTTGAACTGTTGAGGGGGTGCCTGTGCTATGGGGGATGGCTTTGGCGATGGATCTTGGACATGCTGTGAAGCAGGTGGCGTGGGGCTCTTTCTTGGCTTAGCTGCTGTTGGTTTAGGCTTGCTTGGGGCGCCTTGTTGTTGCTTGTTTTGCTGTCGAAACTTAGCCCTTCTGTTTTTAAACCATACCTAGAAAAGATAAGAATAGGATTAGCGATCAAAATGTTAGAGGAAAATGATTTTAAACAGTTTTAGAGTCATTCATAAAATATGGAAAGCGAGGCGACAAGATTTGGATTTACTTGGTAGCTGAGCTAAATGAATTTGCCATTGCATTGAGTTGGGCCAAAAAATATAAATAATTTGTACTAAATAGAATGATTTAACACTAAACGTAAATAGTTGAAATGCCACATTATTTGAAAAAAAAAATTTAAAGTCGAAAAAGTTTTATGATATTTTAAGATAAAAGGTTCAAATAGATACATCAAATTTAAACTGTAGTAAGATTTCATGTATTCTACCAGGCTAAGGCTAAAAGCAAGATAAAATTAAAAAAAAATAAAAGCATGTAGCGTTCGGACAAAAAGCAGGGAGTAAACGTCGCGTGAGTCCAAGGTGTGATAAGTGATACCAAACACTTGAAAGGCCACCAATTCAAACAGAGCTTCCAAAACTCCGTGTCTCAACTCACGCTAACGAAAATCACGAATTACTCTATTTGTATCGCAATATTTTAGAACAAGCATCAAATTAAAGACTTGAATTACTTCTGTTTAATCAGTTTGCTTTATTTTGCTTTCTTCCATAATTTTTTCGCCGGTTTTTCACTAAAAAACATGTTTCGTGCCATTTTTCAACACGTGTTCAAAGTTGGCCCTATCTGTTCCCGACGCGGGCGTTCTGCTTTAAGATAACAACTCTTCGTAAACAAAAGAGTTAAATTCAGTAACGTTGATAAACAGAGTAATTTGTGGGTAATTAAGTACTTATAATCCGCTATCACCCAAGTAACGCCCCTTAAAAACAAAGTCAAGAAGATTTTGGGCATATCTATCATCCTTATAAAATGCTAATTGTCTCCGTAGGCCACGCAATGTAAGACATGACCAAAAATAGCTCGAAATATTTGAGAGCGACGATTAAAATGGCTAGGCGGCGACAGTCCTTAGTTGATTACAATATACATTAGCAGAGAATTAAAAGCTCACTACTTCGTCGTTTTAAGTAACGCAGATATCAGTGAAGCACACCGGTGATTCTAATGGCAATATGTCAAATTATTTGATGCGGGAAAGACGCATGAATGATTCTGTGAAAGTGGTGTGACTTAAAACTTGCTCTGGCCAATTAAATCTAAACAACAAAAGAATTAAGAAGATTCAAGAAAAGCATGAAATCTTTCAACTGTCTTGGAAGCAACACATTTTTTTCCAAGTAGGACATATCCCACAACAGGGGGCCTGGTTCTCCCAGTTACGAGAATACACAAAAAAAATAATCCTTTTGTCTCAAGACGGATCTTTGCTCTCACCTGTACTCTGCTTTCCGGAAGATTAATTTTCATAGCAACTTCCTCCCTCATAAAGATGTCCGGATATTTTGTTTTAGCAAATAGCTCGTCCAGAATTTCAAGCTGAGCTTTGGTGTAAGTCGTACGCTCACGACGTTGTTTTCGTGGAGGTCCTAGGACAAAAGAGGACAACTATTTAATTTAAAAAAATTATAAAAAACGGTTACATGAAGAAAAATATACTTTATAGAGAACTGATGGGATTGTGTTAGTCTGTCTTGCGTTCGATTTCAAAAAGAAGCAATAATTTTTACAATTGTCTTGGAATTTCAGCTCTACGCAGGTTTCAGTGGATGGATCAACCACATTTAAACGGGTTCTCAAGGAAAAAGTTTCCAATTATTCTTGTCCAGTTCCATTTTGAAATATATTTATGGGGTCCAACAATCAGGTAAGTCAGACCCGACCCTCCTACATCTAGGACTTTCATTCATTTCTGTCATTTTAGAATCCAGTTGTGCCCATCATAATTCATATTTCGTAATACTTATCCTCAACAAGAATCTTCGAGAAGCAAGCTCAAGTACTCGAGTGCTACAGCTGTAGCTGCTTACATTCAACTCGCTACTCTCAAACTTATAAAATGGATAATACGATCCTCTTTGGGTCTTTGTAAGTGACTCTTCCTAAATTTTCAAGTAGACATTTCCACCGTTTGCCAAACATTTCAAATCCCAAGACAAACTTTTTCGATCACAAAACATAAGAAAGTTAATACCTTCAAAAAACCTTGACGTTAGACATTGGGGACAGCCAAGACACGGCATTAAACCTGGCCAAGCAAACTCCATATTGCAAGCTAACCGACTTCAAGTTTAGTTTAGTCCCAAAGCATTAATTTATATCTGTCTTCTTATACCAAGCAAAACACGTACGAGTGGTGGGCTTGGTTATGTGATTGGGTTGTATATACCGCTTTTTGTCAGCCTTAATCTCTATATCAATTAGGAAAATAGCAAACCAGCTCTTAAGGTGGCTGTCCAATAAGGGATTATCCAGGGTTTTTCTGACAGACTCCCGCATTTGAATGGATTATAATGCTGATGCATAAAAAAAATTGTCAAACTTACAGCTATACTCTCATGTGTTACTCGACGAGTGGGGAACTCATTGAGCAAACTTTGAAGAGGTAACGGTATAAACGACGTGAACAGAAATAATACAAATGAACACTAACTAGTGCAATTATGTGCAAGAAAAACACTATTTTTTTTACTCCATTCTGGAAAAACTCAAGTGTAAATTCAGTTGACAGTGTAAAGATTCCGGTTACTACATCATTAGAGGAACCTTCGTTTTCCTTTGTGACCTGATGTTTAAGAATCTCAACCAATCGTGATACTGACTTATTTCGAAACTGGAACAGCTCTGCTTGCATTTATGTTATTATCCCAGGGATTTGAAAAAACCATTGGATTAAAGTCATAAACAGGAAGAGACTAGGAAATTATGTTTAAAAAAAATCTATAAACACGCTAATAAGGTATGAAATCCTACGTGGTCACGTTATAAAAGTGGCAAAACGTGATCTTTAAGACAGAAAGATAGTGTAGCTGAGCACTGATTTCTCATTAGAGATTTCCATGTTGTAAAATGTGAGTTTTGTAAGACGATAACAGTGATTATAATTTGTTGGGAAATTTTCAAAATGTCAAGTTCATATGTACATATCTTATGCTTTAAGGTCTCGGAGGTGAAGTTATATTTTTCAGTGGAAATCTTTGAAATTCTACTTGATAAATCGAAGGACAAAGAACTTCTGTTTTAGTTGTCTTTCTATGGCTGTTCATTTTCATCAGAGACTAAACAATCCTTTACGGGAGTCAGTCGAGAACGGTTAGCCTTAAAGCCACTTAGCACAATAGGAAAGATTATCAGGATTGAGACCAAATTTATGACATCAAGGCACGCAACCAAATCAGAGGACATTGTTTATCACTGCACTCTTACCATACATCACAGCTTCGGTCGGGTCGTAAAAATCCATGCTCTGTGGACGACTGTAGTTGTACCCGTTCATTGTACAGGGTGGCAAACGTCCAAAAATACCATTCATTTCTGATCGTGTCTGATGTTCCGCAGTAACTATTGTGTAAGCAGGAGAAACTTAATGTTAGAATCACCTATTTGACCCTGTGGAAGGAACATTCTCATGTGACCTACTGGTATTGTCCTGTTTTGAGAAAGAAAAATGTCAGTGATCGATATGACAGTTGGCAAATTGACATTTCTTCTACCGGTCCATTTTGACACTTAATAAATGGCGTTATCTTTCGATAAGATGGGATAAATATGGTTATCAGTCTGTTGACGAGAGATAATCTCATCACGGGCACGCAAATTTTTAAACGGTAAGCCTCCCTGCTACGATCTCTGTTCCGTATCATGCACCTGATGATGCACGTGATCAGAGTCACTCTCATAGTGTGTTCTTTGTTTCCCCACTGCGTGATTCACGGTTCCTTTATACTGGAAATTAACCAGCTTTAATTTTTCTGTTTCATCAAATAAAATCTACACAAACGTCTCCCATCTTCGACTGTTTTTACTCCTTTTTCGTTCGTTTTCAATACACTGAGTTTTCAAAGTATTCTCCATACTATTAAAGTATCTGATGCAGTTTTATTCATCGAAAATATGACTCATGTATAATGACGCAATTTCTTTAAATACTACCAACACCGAGAATACCTCTTATTCAATCATTTTTTTTGTTCGTTGTAACTACATCAGCTTTGCTATAGTGTCTGCAAGAAACTGTGAGAAAGAACTCCATAATTTGTAAGCGCCACATTATAGGGAAAAATAGAGCAACTGCGGCCGTATCTATTTACGATGAGTAGTTCACCATACCATAAGCGTTTTTGGAGAAAAAAATAAAATCTTATTCGAATCTTCAAAGCCAAATGAACATAAGAAGAAAAAGAGGTAAAAAATCTTCTTTTTTATACGGAACGAAGTTCACTTTGTGATTCTCCTGCCCTTAAAAAGCAGAGGACGCTCGTAAATCTTGACACATAATAGTGCCGTCTTTCTTACGAAAGTTGCACGTCTGCCAATCGATTTCGACTTAAATCAAGTCTACACAGTGTTTGAATATAAATCTCCACGACCGTAAGAAGATAACGTACATGTTTTCACGGCTGCTGAATTATAAACCTCACCGCTAAGTGTTTCCAAAATTCTTTTACAGAAAAAAAGGAATAGAAAGTTTTCACATTTCCAAAGTTTTCATATTTTCATAGTAATGATAGTAAACCTTAGATCCCTGCGAAAGTCCAGCTAGGGAATTTGCGTTAAATATACTTTTATTACTTTATAGCTGGACAAAGAAAACCTGTTCTTAATGAGTTCAATTTCTGATTCTTCAAAAATCATGATCCCGTTGACGATTATTGTTGGTGAGATGCCAAAAGATAACATTTTATCGTCATTTTGTGGCCTCCAATGCTCGGCCTTTGTCAACGCATTGAAGACGCCAAATAAAGTATCTAAAACTTACGACGATCATCTTCAATAATAAACTTTCACAGGATATGTGGTTTAAAAATTTGAAACTCACTGCAGAACCATTTAGATCGTAATATATTGATCAAAATTGGCAAATGTTATGTTTTTCACCTTAAAATCTTAAGTACATTGCCACTAAAAGAGAAGTGTAAACTTTCGAGTTGTTGAGTAGCAGATGGGAAGAGCATGGCTTTTTAAACAAGTTTATTTATAGTTCTGCTTATTTCCGGACCAAATATATATTCTATGGCAAGATATCAATGGATAATTATCACGTTCTAGTTATATTCTACCTTTATTATTAGATAAAAATTTAGTTTTTCGAGAAACTATTCCCTGGAATTAATTCACTTTTCTGGCGAGTGTTGCTTATCGAATATTAGAGCAAACGACACTCGGGAAAATGCGAAGGAACATTTACCATAAGTTCATGGTATTTGTCGTTGTCGAGGTCTGTTTAATGAAATGCTCGGGAAGAGATAAGCTGGATGAACACCAGATTAAATTAATGTCTGTGAAGCAAAGTGAACTTAACACAACGAGAAGGAAACATAACAAAAATGCGATTCGTAAATAAATTCGTACAAACAGAAGACAAGAAAATTTTACTCTTATCACGGGATATATACTAAAAACTTGAATGGGGGCAAAAAGTATTTCTCTAGTTTTATTTCGCAAGAATGAATTATTTCGCAACTTCTAATGGGCGTGACGTTGTCAAAAAGCTTTCTGAAGTCAACTCATATCGCAACAGATATAGTATCAAGGAAATCTGGAGAATTCAACATTGAGCTGCAGCCAGAATAAACGAAAACGCGTACCGGACGGATAAACACATGCACGTAACCCTAAAATTTGACGTTTTCAAAAACGTCACGGAACAGACTGGCCAAACACCGGCATACATCACGTACTAAGAATGAAAACTGATCTTTTTGTAGTAACTATGGAGGATGGATATTTTGCGGGGGATTTTGGCAACATTTCAGTGAGTATGTTTTAATTAGGTAACTAAGTTACACGCCTAAAACAGCCGAAGTTAATGTCAAAGGGAGGAAAAAGAAGAATGAGGAGCGAACAGAAATGTCCCTTGCATGGTCATTTCCGATGAAGACTATGTTACAACAAAAAATTTCATGATAAATTTCCCATTTCAACTATGGAATTTTTTTCAATTTTCACAAACCAAATTCAGAACTCTTGTCAATATATTTTGATTTGGTGAAACTGTCAAAAATCGCCTAATAAGCCCCAACAATTAAAAGCTAGATTATCTTTATTAAATCTCTTTAAGGGGGTGTTTTTGTGCCGAAGATACTTAATTTTCTGGTCGTAAGTTTTTAAAAAATTTAATATGCACTGAGTATGCTCATTGAGACATTCTGATGATTTGTGAAGATCAAAGCCTCAATTTGAGCTACTTTGACCGACAAGTAAGAGCAATGCAATACTACATCTGAAAAGTGCTGAAAGCACTAACTGGGCCATTGAGCCTTTTAAAGTGAAAGACGTCTACGAAATTTATGTTCACATTAATTTTTTTGTTTCAGTTTACTTACCTTAGTTCAAAACTACACGAGATTTTCCCAATAAGTTACAAACTCCTTCTCATTTCTTTTTTTTCCCAACGGGAATGTGGTGTTGTTCGTTGCTAATGTTGTCTTAACTGAGAGTTCGTGCAAGCATTACAATTATCTTTGAATCAAGACTATAATTAGATCACTCTGTGACGTCAGTCAATTTAGGAAATAGTGTCTGCGAGGAACATCCACGACCGACCACATCTTCCGGATGTAGCTCCATGAAAAACTTTTCATGTTCCATAAAAAATCCAATTAGTCTTTAAAAATTTATGAGAGGATTTATGACATCCTTACTTAACCACTGCCAAGCGCAGCTTTTAAAAAACCAAAAACACCAAACAGGATAACAAATCACCCATGGCAACATATTTTGTTTAGGTACCAACTAGTAGGAGACATTGTTTACATTGAACAGTCAAGAGAACATATCCAGTGAATAGCATGGTGATGAGATTGATCCCAGGACCACCGCATTGCGAACCAAATGCTTTGGCCTCTTGGTCATGTTCCCTCCTACTAAACCTGGAACACCTCCTCCCCTCCTCCCCAAGCAAGTTTCGCACAATCTATCCGAGTCTCTTCTGCCTTTGTTAAAGTTTCGCCTTTTCTCCGCTTTTGTTTAGTTACAGTGGTAAGTTATGATCAACCAGACCGTTAATAGCCTCGTAGGTGATAAAAAGGTAGATCTTAATTGCTGGTGATAGGTTGGTTTACAAAACAAAACAGAAAGACAGCCTGTTTCCCTTTTCAATGATCCAAACAAAATTTAAATTAGTAAACCTCGAACTGTGTAAACTTTGCTATCCTCTTCAATAAAGGAACCTACAATTGTGTTGTTCTTTGGTCATGTCAGATAATCCGCTGACCTATCTGTGTGGCCCCCTTGTCCTACAAACACTTTAGAATTCATGAAGAATTTGAAATAGAGAGGACCTTTTCAGTCAAAACTAACTTAACCTCTTCAATGTCGAGCCACGTGGGAACTTTGATTGTATCCGTGTGGAAAATATCAAGGTAGCTCTACACATCTTACAATAGCGCAATATTTTAGAAATAAAAAATAAGTTTTAAAAGTCTTATCTTGGAAAGGTAATGATTTTAACAAGTATAAACGGAACAACTATGATTGTTTTTACAGGT